ACTTCTCTGGATGGGAGGGCTAGTGAATGTGAGTAGTCATGTTGGGCGCAGGGCTGAGGTGTGCGGTCTCTGTTTGCGGGTGAGTGCAGTGGTCCGGATCACCGCTCTCCACCGAGAACACCCTCAGCTCAGTCCGTGAGGAGCAGGAACGGTGCTGTGGACGGCGTCTCAGCAGGAGGCTGTAATTAGTGTCTTTAAGCTCAGCTTCTGACGGCACTGCCTCCACGTTCATGCCCCATTAGCCTGAAACAAATGTCCGAGCTAACTAATCGGTGACTGCGACTCTCTTCGAGACAAAGGCTGGAAAATGTGAAGCGCTTCAGCCCACTTGATCTGCCTTTTTACTCTTTTCTCATTGCAGTTGTTGTGATTACATGTGTTGTATAATCATCAGCATAGCTTCAATCTAGTGCTCAACTCTAAACTAACTGTTCTGCTTCAGCGTCTACAGAACATGACGTCTTGCCTACACTGTAAAAAGTGCCAGCTTGTAATTATTATATTGATGAGCTATTTCTACCTGATTTAATCCATAACATTTGTTTTGTTGATACAAATGAATGTATTTAGGTTAATTCAGTAATATTAAATATTATTTTTGACTTAAATATAACCAGTTTAGATGTTATACATTTTTTTTGTGTAATTAAACCAAATCGGCTATGTAAATTTCTGTTGTAATAATTCAGCAATATGATTCTTGAGGTCATGTTATATAGCGAATATAGTCACAGCTGCAGGGTGTTGGACATTATCCTATTATTCAGCTCTTTAAGTGACTATAAGATATAATAAAAATTGACATTGTGAATTTCTGTAAAGCTACTTTGAAACAGTGTGTATTGTGAAAAGCTGTACAAATAGAATTGACTTCTAATATATATATATATATATAATATTGAATATTATATATAATATTTAAATAATGATTTAACATCACTGGAACACTCGGTTGATCAATTGCCAGGAACCCAGGCTGATATGCAGATCCATATTTAATATATTAATTAGTCTTTAATGGTGAGAAACTGAACTTTAGTCTGCTTTTTACGTTCATTTTTGCTGTTGTCTATTTTATGTGGGATCCAGTGGGATCCAGTTTAATGTGGACACACACTGTCTGTCTCTCTACAGACTCAAAAGTTAACATAGTGTACATAGTGGTCACGTTTGAGCCAGAGAGAGAGAGCGAGAGTGAGAGAGAGAGAGAGAGAGAGAGACAGAGAGAGAGACAGAGAGAGAGAGAGAGAGAG